GTCGCTAGGTGTCAAAATCTGATGCAGAAAAGCACAGAAAGTGAGATACATTCATGTGTGCTGAGCACGTCATCTCTGGTCTCCGATAAAGGTAAAGCTCATACTGTCTTCTCCCTCCCACATGAACATTATTTCTTTCTTCTCCCTGGTGACCACTGAAACATGTCAAAATACAGGTTTTTCAAAGCCTCTATTTCTAAAAACTGGATAGAAAGTAATCAAATGGTTCAGAAGTTATCATGAGAAAGACAAGCTGCTCCTTTGCCTGATCACGTATGCCCCGTGTCCATACAAAAGCTGGAGAAAATCCTTTTACCCAGTGAGCAGTCCCTACTTGTCTTTAAAGACAATCTGAGCCATGGTGTTTGGAGCTGTGCCCACTCAAGCAATCCGTGGGCTGGGGAAATAATTACAGACCCATGCATCCCTCGATCACCGTGTGAGGGAGGTAATTACGGCACAGAGTAAGCGCAGCAGACGGGAAGCAATTGCTCTCGTGTGCTTGGATTGCAGGCTGCTGCTTTTTTCTCTCTGGCCCGGCTGGCATCTCACGGATGCTTTACTGGGGACTTACCGACGGTGAAGGGCTCCACATAACCACCCACGTCCCCCAAGAGAGCAGGTACAAAGTGAAGCACATTCGCACCGGCACAGACTTAGGTCTCTGATAATGAATTTCTTTCTACAGGAGGCAAAGAAATGTGTGCCACCGTATTGTTCTCTTTCCTAAAAATAAATGCAGGGAGAGAAAGAGGAGTCAGACAAAAAGAGTTTGCAGGATTATCAACCCCCACCAAGCAGAAATCTTGACAGGCTCCAATAAATCACCAGATAGCTTTAATGGTAAACTTGACAAGAAAAAAAAAATTTTTTTTCAGCTTCTTTCTCTGACTTATGAAGCTTCAGACTTGCCTGCAGTCTACAAAGCTAAAAACTTCTGTAAAAAATGAAAACTGAGGTACCCGCATGACTCCAGAGGGTGGAGATTTATGAAAAAATAAACATAATGAGGTTTTTTTGATCAGACACTGTTTGCGGAGGAGAATTTTATGGTGAAAGGCTTATGACATCTACATTTTCCTCTGCAGAGGCTTCCCTGTAAACTGGACAAAACCCCCTCTGACCAAGTCCTTCAGACTCAGCTATAAGCTGTTAGGAAAGCAGCCAGTCAAAAAAATTGCAAGCCTAAGAACTTATATGCCCTGTTTGTAGAAAAGTGGAAAATCAGCCAATAAACACTGTCTACTGCTAAAAATCAGAGTACTCACAGACGTTATCCCTCCTGAGAAGCTACCCTAAAGCAGTGGCCTCCGGACAGGTCACCTGAACGGCTGATGTGTGCAAAGTCCCCGTATTTTAGCCGTGATGGCTCAGGTGAGAGGGGGACCTGGACACCACTTAGCGTGACACCAGCGTGACCAGGAGGACATCTTCTGCCTGTGAGGCAATGGGAGTCACATCCTGATCTCATGGGCTGAAGTCAGGATACATGGGAAGAAAATGACCCGGTCCTGACAGCGATTTATTCATAGCTGAGAGAGAGAGCAGGATTGGGCAGCCACAAGCAATGGGTGTCTCTCGTGGGAAGGAAAATACTGATCAAAACAGAAGAAAGTAAACGAGCAAGTATGCAACACAGTGATGGTCTCAAGCTCTCTGTTTTACTGAGGGAAGATGAAAAGCTGTGACTTTCAGCGTTGCTTGGGACAGGAAGATCACCAGGTGATGCCCTATTTGTGAAAATGGGATATCCCAATGGAAAGAAACTGGGTTTGCTTTCACAGAGTGCATTTCTGAATGCACTGCTCCTCCCTGCTGGCTCAGCTAAACCTGATGCACATCTTCATTTCCACCATGCAGGCAGACCCCGCGCAGCTGCATCGTTCGATACAGCTGGCCTTCAAGAAGCCCTAAGTCAGCAGCACATCGACAAGAGCCTTGCTGGAAAGACTAAGTCCCACACAGAGCAGAAATAGCCCCTGCAGGAAGCATTTTGCTTTTACAGAGCACAGGGAAAATTAAATCATTCTGTTTGTAAAGAGCACCTCTGAAACCTTAAAGCATCCGTCCTTGTATAATTCTTTTGCAGCACAACATAGACATATGCAGCGTAAATGTACTGCCAGGTGCTGCAGGAATAAACTGAAAGCAGCTGTCCCTTTGGATGGAGCTGTACTGCAAATATATCTTCTGCAAATTGGGCCTTCCTCTGGAAATGCATTGCACACCTAAAGGAGACCAGGTTTTAAAAAAAAGTTCACCACAAGTGCTAAATTCTGGCCCAAAGAATCCATCCACCAACTTTGAAGTTCCTATGTATTACATTTTTTTCCCAGACTTGGCTTTTAGTAGAACTTCCCAGAATACTTTTGAAAACATAAAACTTTCAAGAGCTCAAGTAACTGCAAAAAAAGGTTTGAATGCAAGTGCCAAGTGTTGATCTTTAGTTATAGTTCTGACTTTTGACAAAGGACGGGGAATGTTAGACTACTCTTTTGTATTAACAAGAGATCTCAAAATGTTATTCAGGAGTTTAAGTTGAAAGACCTATATAAATAGAAATCACATGCTAATAGGACATAATGTTTTACTACCTCACATATAAAACATCATTCTGAACGGTTTATGCTCCAAAGTAAAAGTTGATACCACTGCCAGTATTAGCTTAGCTAAATGTAGGGTTTTGGTGGTTTATTCCAGCTATTTGGGCCAGTTCTCTGCCATAGAAGGTTTTGACCTTAATTTCAGTTTCATTTTTCCACTGGAAAATGCCACTTTGTTGGGTGTGGGGTTTGGCAGCACAGCCAGTTTCAGTGAAGGCTTGTGGTTTCTCAGAGCTGTGATGGACCTGCCGGAGGGGAAGGCAGGCAGCCTGGGAACTCAGGGAGCGGATAGACTGACGTGCCTGTGCTGGACCGGGACGAGCAGGGACTTGACCACCTTTCTCCAAGAGATTTGGGAAATGAGTTCTCAGCTGATGCAGCTGTTGCAGACAGAGAGCTAAGAGGAGAGACCAGAGGAAAGGAGCATGCAGGGCTGGCGGTATTATTGTTATCATTTTTCAGTGGGGAGAGATGAAAAGATTTCTACTTCCAATGCAAAAACAAAAGCAGAAGTCAAAACTCCTCAGAAACACAGTCCTTCCTCCTGACTCGGTTTAGCCACAGCTTGCCTTGGTACATCCAAGGGGTCAACTAACAAAGATTAATTTACTGTCTCTCAACCGAATAAAAGCAAAGCACCTGCCTGACCTTTCTTGCTGACAGCTCCTAGTTTTAGGCAGCCGCATTCAGCTGTTCTCCATCATTATGCAAAATCAAACAACACCCAGGTTTCCATTTTCCAGTGCCTATATCCTTCAGCACAATATCATCATCTTTCCCTGCCTTCCTGTGGCCTTTTCCACCTTCCTTATGCTCCTATCGAGGTAGTAAGGTCTTATGGATTCATGCTGGCCCCTGGGATCAGTTCACAGTTAATGTGGATGCCCTGTCCTTCGTACACTGGCTCTCAGCACATTTAGCTTCTCAGCCATACTGCTTTTTAGTACTTAATTATGTTGTTTGTTTTGCATTTATTGGCCTGTGCTGTGCTTTCATTGCTTAGATAAAACTAGCTAGCAATCCCCAGGCCTCCTGAAGGAATGCTACTGCAGGAAAGTAATGAACGTGCTATTTTCCCCAGCACAGAGCAAACACGCTGCTAATGGCGATGAACTCTCAATCTTTCCTTGGCTGCAGCATTGGTGAAAAGTCCTGGCTAGTCCACGTGTGTGAAGAGATGTGGCCATTAAAACTGCTGGCAAATAGCTCTGCCTGAAGGACCAAATGGCAGAATACTAAAGTGCGTGTGGATCCCACCCGATGCTTTACTTTTTACTGTCGTCATCATCATCAGGCAAATCCCTTGGCCCAAACTTGAGAAATCAATAGCACTCAAACAAGGAAACTTGTTATTTTCCACCGCACAAACTTTAATTGTTTCAGAGGCTTCCAAGTTCAATGACAGACACTTCATTTAAAGCAAAAAATAGTAGAGCTGTATCTATTTCTTTGATATTGAAGACTAGGATTCTTTAGATCTGAAGTGCCTGCTCTGGCTTGACAAATACCCGGTGCCGGTAGATGTTTAGAGCAGAGAAATTAGAAAGACAGGTGAGAGGGTGAATGATTCTGGTGCTGTGGAGTACAGACTGTAGTTTGCAATAGGCATTGCAACCACCAGTAGATAGAAATGTAAGCGAACATTTCCTTGCAGTCACTAATGAGACTTCCAGTGTGACTCCTTTTCTGTCATGTTACATTATCTGCCATGCTGGGAAACTCAATAATTACTCTGCAGGCACTTATGAAGACATACTTGTTGAAACAAATGATGGGGCATGATGTTAGTCAGGCACAGGCTGGAAACCAGCAAGCCCGTCTTATGAAGGAAACAAACCAAAACACTGTCACTTCTCTGGTAAAAAATATTTCCATTTAAAATTGGACAAGAAGAACAGACAGCAATTTTTCAGGGGGAAAAGAAATGGTTCCTGGAAAGCAAATTTGCTTCTGCAGAACAGAAATTATCTTTCTGCTCCTGGAAGGGTATTACCTGGTTTGCTTTTCCAGATGATCAGCTTGGGAACCAATAGATCAGTTTTTCCAATGGGAAATCCAAGCGTTTGAGATAGCAAGGGTGCTTTCCGCTCAAAAGTCATGTCCACAGAAAATCCCTAGCTGGACTTTGTATAATCTGACACGGAACCTGACCATTGTCAACTAAAATCTAAAATATTTTGTAGACTCCCCCCTCAACAAAGTATCTCACAAGACAACCACCACTGTCACAGAGACATATCAAGGTGGGGAACACACTACCCTGCTTAACCACCTCCCACTACCCTGGAGAATGTCTTGCCCACATTTGGGTTTTGGTGAGCTTTCCTTGCTGGTGTGGGGTGATGGATACTCCATGGATGCAAAATTCTGAATTAGCAGGAGACGTTTTAACGTTACCTCATGAGACAGGTAAAAGGCAGCAATTCCCAATGGCCAGAAGCAGCAGAGCATGGAGAACACAGTGAGGCCGAGATGATCTCTTGGTGGCATCATCAGGAAATTGTCTTCGCTTTCGGTGTCGCTTGAGTAATCGCTCTGGAATAGCAAGGGAGAGAGAAATGTAGAGGTGCTGGTTAATGCTATCATTATTTCTCCTCTGCCAAGGGCCAAGGCTGTGATCATCCGCCCATAAAACTCTCCCGAGTCACACCAGGGCAATTCCTCAACATCAGGACAGGTCTCCAGCACTCATGGTAGAAGGTGACCCACCCTGGGGTCTCTACCATGCAGGGGTCTCTAGCCAGGGCCAGCACTGGGACCACTTGTACCCTTTTCATCAGGGTTTGCGCACCCATTCTGCTATGCTGTGGCCCCACAGGGACAGGACCACAGGAGTTAGCCTGCCCTCCTGCCGTGTCCACACCAGCCAGTGGCATCCTTCAGAAGGACTTCAGGATCGGACTTGCGGCCGTGGCACATCTCCCTCCCTGCCCTGCCAAAAAGCTCACCAGGGGAGGCTGAGAGACCCGAACCCTTACGTCTGCACCAAACTCAAAGGGGAGAGAAGCACCAGGGCTTGGGGAAGCCACCCCAGCCAGCGTCACAAAGTCAGCACTCTTTTTCTCTCCTACTGCATGCACTGCAGCACTGGCTGGCAGATGTCCTCCTTACGAACACGAGGGGAATCTCCATTCACCGACTATGTCACGGCCTCCATCACCATTGCAGGAACTTGAAAGCGAGAAACGAGAAATGACAGATTTTGGAAATCACTGCAGGGAGCTGGAAAGGGCCTGTTTTACATGTTCGTTTTTCACGAATGAAGGAAAGCGACTCTTTAACCAGATGAACCAGGGTGAACCTGGGTGGGTTGGCACTTCAAAAACATAATGTCACTTATCTAATGCAGAAGGAGCTGTAAGCTTCGGGTGCTCTGTAACACCCAACTCAAATGCCAGTCTTCTGGAAGGTCACTGCTCAGGTGGCCAGGAGAATGTCAGCCAGACATTACCCATTGAGGACAAGGTCACAAAGGTAGTGCAAACCTAAGCATGAGGAACGAAGGTAGCAAAAGCTGAAGGAGAAAAAAACCATGAGTTGCTCCAGCAGCAATGGGATGCTGCCAGAGTTACAGTGTGTAGGCAGAAGCACCTGCCCAGGCATGTTTCTTAGATGACCCATGGTCAAGCTGCAGCAACCCTGACCGAGCAAAACTTTCTTTCACGGTGATTGCTAGGACTGGTCCACAGGGGACCTGCCTTGCCCGCTGCTGAGTAAAATTCTCCAGCAGAGCATCTTCCTTGCCTGCAGGGAGTCCATATGCAACAACAGGCACCGAGGCTGTGGTTATTCCAGGCTTCGGAGTTACAGCTTTGGTGCAAAGAGGGTCCTGCAAAGCTTTTTAACTCACCCTGGGAGCACCTCCATCCTGAGATGAGGTGGCCAAAAATCTTCTAAAAAACCCCTTTTGTAGTTGCGTATTCTTCGCTGGTTGTAGGATAAATGCTGTGCAAAATCTTACTGAAAGGCAGACATCTGTGTCATGTCTAGAAATCTACCCTTTTGGGCACAGGTTTTGTGTCCCTCTTAGAAACTCAGAAGCCTGTTCAGGAGCTTTTGACCTTTGGGCCAAAACTGCTAAAGTGACATTGCTCTACCAGTGAGCTCTAAGTAAGAAACTCCTGAATAAGTGTGCAAGACAGGAAAATAAACCCATGGGCAAGAAGGTAAGTTTCTAACCATGCCACTAGTGAGCCATGACTGAGGAGGACCTAGGAAATGCTGGCAGCCTCACGATATTTCAAAGACTTGGCACTGGGCAAAGGGATTGCCTCCTAAGCTGACCCATTTGGGGAACCCACCAGATGACATGGCCCATCGCTTGCTAACGTGGAGAGTCTGCTTCAACAGATATTGCTGCCAAGCACCTGCCACAGACCAGAGGGGCCTGGGAGGGATAGGTGGGGGGGACCAGGCAGGTCCCATGCACCGAGATTAGGTGGTGCACGTGAACACCGGCACGTAGAGCACCCCAGCCTGTGTCAGGAGTCTTGATGCCTCAGCAGAAGTGACAAAGCTCCATTTGGCACAAGCTCAAAAAAATCCCACTTCTGAAGGGACACCTGCTGACGCTGGTGTACTGCGTTTGAGCTTGGTGACTTCCCTTTCTGCTTTAATTTTCAGAAAAGACCATGTAAGTAATTTTTAATACCAATAGCCTTTCATTTCACGAGTAAGAGAAGAGAGGGGGAGGGAGGAAATCCACAACATTGCTGAAACTGTCTCTTGAAACAGTGCCCTTTCCTGAACTTCATGACAGGTAAGATACAAAAACAAAAATGCTTTTGATTTCGCAGTTATTAGCTTAGTAGTGTGCAGGCATTGTATCTATCTGATACTTCAAATTGCCTTTTCTTGCAGATGAAGATAAAATGGGGCAAAGATTCTCTAGATAACTTTGATCAAGTGCTGAACCAGAAAATCACCGGTTACGCTGCTTTCCAAAGGGACTAACCATTCTCAGGGTGGTGGTGTCATGACATCTCAGAGGGCTTCCATGACCAGAGAGGTGGCTGTTAGGTTGCAAGAGGATAATTGCAGAAGTTTTCTTAGTTATGCTAACGTGAAAGGGTTGTCAAGCATTGGAATAGGCTGCCCAGGAAAGCGGTTGAGTCACCATCCCTGGAGGTATTTAAAAGACATGTAGATGTGGTGCTTAGGGACATGGTTTAGTGGTGGACTTGGCAGTGTTAGGTTAATGGTTGGACTTGATCTTAAAGGTCTTTTCCAACCTAAATGATTCTATAAGTCTATAAAAAAACCTTACCGGGGAAGGTTAAGTCTCTACAGGCTCATACTAACTGAATAGTAGAATTACACCGTGAATGCCATTTTGATGGGCAAAGTCCCCATTGTACACACTGGATCGGATGACCTGACTCTCAATCACCAAGAGTGACAGAATAATTCTGTCATAATTCATGTAGTCCAGATATGAACCAGAAGGGCGAAAGAAAAAAAAGTCATAAATCACAGAAAGAAATCCAACAGCAAAAGGTACCTCTTACCCCTGTCAGCTAAACACTCATTTCTCCAAGCAAACTTTCCTCTCCAATGTTCTCTCTCTTACAACACGATACCCAATCCTGAGCCTACCGAGAGATCTTCCCTATCCAGAAACCTTTATGACATTGGGAAGCTTTTGACAATTTGGCTACCTAGCTGGCTGTCTTCACTTTTTTCTGGTTCTGCAAGAGCTGCACCCTGACACTGGAGGAGCTGGACATCAGGGGTGCTGAGAAGTCAGAATTACTTTTACCAATTACAGTTGCTTTGGGTTAGCAGACTAATCCTGGATACTCACTAATATTCTTGTCCACAGCACTGTTCCTTTCATGTTTAACAGTCTCTTTATAAATTTACATGGAACTTTTCACAATTACATCATAATTTCACTACTCTGACTGAAAGCTTTTAACTCCTGCAGAAGTTAGGGAATAGCATAACTAATTAATTTTCAAGGTTTGGGCGGTGAGCAAGACTGCACAGACAAACTTTTCTTTATTTAATGTTAAGCTAGATGAGTTTAAGCAATTTGAAATATCAAACTGTCAGGTTTTTCTTTCTACAGGTATACCACCAGTGCATCCTCCAACCAAACAAGAAGCAATCAAAATAGAACTTGTGCAACCATTAAAAAAAAATACCTGGCAAAGAGCAGCCCTTTCTCGGTTGAGATATTCTGTCATCACTAGAGAAAACATCCCTCAAAGTTAGTCTCCTAACAAATCCCAGTTACTCCAGGCTTTTTACTGAGCTGGTGAAAACACAGTTGAGTTATCCTCTTTGAACAGAGCTCCTCTATCCTGTCAGTCAGACGATATCGCTATCTTCATGATGCTAGAAAAATCTTAGGAAGAAACAAGGCAAAATACATGTTGATGCAGCTGCAATCACAAAAGTGACAAGAGACAGGAGGATCACAGGGTGTCAAGGAACAGCAGCAGCTGACAGTCTCTTTGGGATGTGGAGGGATTCACCCCTTTTCAGACATGACATCTGGCTCCAGCAGCTTCCACTGCAACTGCACAACCACTTCTAACCGCAACGCACAGAGAATATTTACGGAAGGCAGCACCTTTCCACTGCAAGTCAGGCTCTGGCTTGGAGACACGTCTTTGTGTTTTAACATGAAAAATACAATCGCAGCAAGGTCCACAGCCCTTCCCCTTGCCAAGTGGTCTGCACTTTCTGCAGCCCATGCGAGGTGCTGCTGTGAGAAAGGATACCTGTGCAAATGGTCCTGTAACAGAAATGACACATCTCTGAAATTACTGAGCATGCGGTGGGGATTTCCTGCTTCCAGTGGATCCTTTGTAGAAAAAGCAGTTATTACAATGACAACAACCATCCTCATCCTCACTGACTACCGCTGCATGTCCCTCACCAACACTCAGAGTTCAGCTGAGAAGACAGCACATGATAAAGCAATCTCAGTCTCAGTTTATCCACCAGCCATTTTGTGGCTATTATAAGGAGGAGGTGACAGGAGTGCAGGCAAGACTGGAGTTACCAGGAGATGAGGCCTCAGAGGACATCTCCCCAAAGCATGAATTCCTGCAGAAAGCACAGCACCCTGCCCAGATGAATGTTGATTACAGTGAATGACAAAGAAAGCAAGCAGCTCTTTTTCTTTCCCTTCCCTTCCCTTCCCTTCCCTTCCCTTCCCTTCCCTTCTTCCCTTTTTTCCTTCCCTTCCCTGTCAGGTCCCATCCCACTCCTCCCATTTCCCCCCAGTAATGGGACCCCCCCCACAAGCTCTTTGCCTTGTTTACCCCTGTTTTTCAATGGTGGGCACCTCCACAGCCCTAAAATGCATTAGGCACAGGCGACATGGGCAGGACATAAACTGGATTTCTGCAGAAACTGTGGATGTGACAAAGGATACAGAGGAGAAAAGAACTTTGTTGGGAGAAGGAAGGTGCCTGCTTCCCAGCCCCAGAGGGCATGGAATTTTGCAGCAGCTGGAATTTGGGTGCTAGACAGTTCAACGGGAAACCTTGACCTTTGTGTTCAAGTGGGCTGCTTCTGACACT